GCTAATTGGGAACCGAAGACCAAGGTTAGATCTAAACTGATACTGCCCTGGGGCCAAGAGTGCCTGTGCTTGGCAATGTGCCACTGCCCCTGCCCCTGCCCCCACCCAAATATGCAACATTTGAGTTTTGTAAAGCAAAACTGCATCAGGTGCCTGTCTCATATTAGATTATTATCTGTCACACAGAGCAGGTGCCCCTTAACAGTCTCCCAGGCAGACTAAAACCCTGGTTCTGTCTCAGTGCCTCAGAGGGAGTTCATTATCACATTAATTTCTAGCATAAATTATAGAAAGCCAATTGTTAGAACACATTGCCTTCAGACAATTTAACGTTGGATATAAGCACCAAACATCTGATAAGGGATATGGCTCAGTGTAAAAACTCAAAGCTCCTTAATTGTTGGGACAATATGAATTCATAAATTAAAACAAGAGCTAAATGAACAGTTCTTTGAAACATGAAGATTTTAACTTCTGGCTTCAATACAATCTTAACTGTCTCTCTTCTTGCTTTAAGCGTCCACAAAACTGTACCCTCTGGGTGGAGGAGGAGAGAGATACAATTTGATGCATGACTGGTTTTTTCAGCCTTAATTACAGATATTAGTATTTGTTCAGCCTTGAGACAACCTAAGAATGACTGTTTTCCACAGGAGATTAACATTTCAATACTTCTAAGGGAGGTGCCCATCACACTCAGATCTTTAACTGACTATACTACAGTATTCTTTAGATGTTACAGGAGTGATGTTAAACCATTTTTCTGCTGTTTAATTCACACAGTAATGTTTAAGAGTTAAGGAGAAAGAGGCAAAGTTCAGCAATAGAGCACCTCATTTGCACACAAAAGGTCCCAGGATTAATCCCCAGCACCTCCAGGTAGACCTGGAACAGAACCCTTCCTAAAATCCTGGATAGCTGCTGCCAGTCAGCTAGAGGGACCAATGGTCTGACTCAGTATAAGGCAGCTTCCTATGTTCCAATATTGTTCCTATGTAAGAAGACCCTGTGTAATGGAAAACTCCACTCCACTTCACCACTCAACTATCAACCCCTGAATTCTGCTTTGGTGACAAATGTGTGATAAGGACCTATGTGATTGGAATCATCATTGGTCAACGTGTTTTCAAATATTACAGCAGAGTAGCAGGATGAATCCTTGGAAGAGCAGCTCCAATGTTGCCACTGAAAAATCTAAAGAGCATCAAGGAGAAGAGAGAAAATAGGGAATTGCAAAAGAAGAATTAAGATCTAGTTTGAAATATTACCACTTGCTAAAAGAAGTTATCTGGAGATTTAGGGTGCAATTTTCATCAGTATGAAGACAACACACAGCTCTAGCTCTTGTTTTGACATACTCATCCCAGGGAGGCTGTGAAACCCTTGAAGTGGTGTCTGGATTCAGTTTTGGGATGAATGAAACCATTCAAGCTAAAATTTAATCAAGACAACACAGAAAGACTGTGGAAATCAACCAAAGTGTATGGACGTTTGGAACCAGACTAGGGTGGGATTACATCCCTCCCCTGATGTAACTTCCTCAGAGTTTGGGGGTTCTCCTGCACTTTGTGTTGTCTGTGGATATCCAGCGGTGGCTAGGATGCCTTTTACAGTATGTGTTCAGGATGATGCGGCATATGTGATTTTACCTAGATAGGGTTTACCCTAAACTACGCTACACATGCACTAATAACATCCAGACTTGAATACGTGTCTGCCTTTGAAGACTATGTAGAATGTTCAACTGGTGTAAGCTACTTTCGTGATACTGGATTTTCAATTCCATGTTGTCATTTTATGCTGTGGAGTTGCCCAGAGGACTACTTATTAGCAACCTTATAAGATTATAGCACGTCAGTAAATAAACTAAACAAACATGTGCCCATCTATATGTTGATGGGGGAATTGGGCAACCCTTTGCACTGGTTGCCCATGGATTTCTAGGCCAATTTAGTAATGATCTTTAAAGTTGCCACTGATTTGGGGTCACATTACCTTAGAAGGACCTGCCTTCACCTGTATGAACTTGCCCGTGCTCTAAAATCAGCTTCAGAGAGTCTATAATAGGTCTGCCATTTATATCAATTCAGTTAGTGTGCACAAAAGACAGGCGCTTCTCATGGTGGGCCCACATTTGTGGAATTCTATTCCAACAAATGGGCATATGGTACCATCAGTACATGCTTTTAAAGACCCATTTACTCCTTGGCAATGCTGAATGAAAAAATGAAACATTTCATCTGTTTTAAATGGTTTAATGCTGACTGTTATTGTTGAAATGTTTACTACATTTTTGGATTATTATATACATACTTGTGGTTTTGGGTAAGTTGCCATGCGACAGCTTTGTCCTAAAAGGTGACCTAAACATATTTAGATAAATAAAGTAATGTAACAAATGCCTGTGGTTTGTTATTAATTCGTATTCCAGTTTAAGTGGGTCCTCTTTCAGAATGCATCTGCTAGACTTCAGTTTGTATTTTCAGGATGGCGGAGGTTAATTCCCACCTGCCACAGTGTGTCACTGGCAAGTAACTGACAAGTCACAGCATCCTGACTAAATACTGGATGATGACCGTTCAGTAATACAGTGAAACTTGAATGCCCTAGCTAAAAGCTACAGTGACATATTTAAATTTATTACCAAGTTGGGGGGGGGCAGATCCAGGAAGTGGCAGAGTTTCACTTCTGATGGGCTTAAAATGCTGCTAGATTTACTGCCCTAGTTTGGATGTAACACACTCAGCTTGCTAAGCAATAGTTTAGGAAGCTCTGTGGAAGCATCTGTCCTGCACACTCCCCAGTCCTCTTCTCTCTTCGTTGACATGCTGATCCTCTACATGCCAAACAGGGAAGTGTGGTTTAATGTCAGTTTACTAACCGGGATTTTAAACCATGGTTTGAATGTAAAAAGAAAGCATCACTTCAGCTAACCAGGATCAGCATGTGTCAAAGGGAGGAAGGGGAGTGGAGAGTTAAGCACTCCTTGCTTACAAAATTGCATCCAAAAGGAGCCACTATCATCTGCATTACAGAGTTATTGTAATGGTAGCTAATAGTTCGTGCTTAATCTTTCATTTTTCAAGGCTACTATGGAAGTTTGGAAGTCTTGGAGTGATTGTTTGGCACCAGCATTCTCTCCCCTGACTCCCCCCACTGGATCACCCTGAATTTAGGCACAAATATAAATATACTCAATTTAAAGAATGGAAATCTAAGCATTTGTATAGAATTAGAGATGTTGTGGTGAAGGGCCACCTCACCAAAGAACATTTTGAGGGAGAAGTTACAAGTTGTTAAAGCCTTGTGGCTCCAATTTAAGCAGGTGTGGTCCTTTGGGAAGGAGGGAGCTTATGAGAACGGGTGGCATGCTATGGTCCTGGACACTGTTTGAAGGTTTATGCATCAGGTAGAGCCAGCAACTGAGACCGTCTGCTTCAGTAATCTATATACTGCTTATTACGTAATCAGTGGGTGACAAAACAGGTCTCCAGGGAAGGAGATATAGATGTGCACTGAAGATGTGGATTGGGAAAGGATATGCGGAGGATATGCCAGAATCCAAGAAGCATCCATAAAGGTACTCCTTCAATGGCACTGTACACCATCCAGGTTTTCTGTACACCAACCAAAGAACTGGTTGTGCATCTTTTGACAGTGGATATAAAAAAAAGTTGGTAAGTGTTGGAAGTCAGTTAATGGGCTCTCTAGAGAGCAGTAGATGAGTGTTGTTTGGTCCATAGCCTTCTCCAAACATTTGTGAGTAGTACAAGGCATCATGAAACATAACTGGTTTGATGAAGTTTGGCCCCCTTTTTAAAGTTACATTAATTAACTATTAATCTTCACCGGTCTGCACCACACTGTATGACAACATGGAGAACCCTCCATACCTGGATGTGAATTTACCTGTGAATTGGGTTGCTTAATGATAATTGTATTGTAACAGGAAAATCTCTTTTGCAATTGTATGCTACCTTTTAAATCACATTGCATTGTATTTTTTGTTTAAAAACCTTTAATAAATACATTTTCTAAAATTCTGTCATTCATAAATACTGCATAAAAAGTAATTGAACTGCAGCCTAATTTATATCCATTTTCATGCCTAAACTTTTACTAGAATTAACAGTTCTGCAGAATGCCAGGCAAGCAGGAAGGGCTAAGGTTCATTGCCATCTGCAACCTTAAATTCACATACATACAGTCTTTGTTATCAAAGGACTTCCAGACATTTTTGTTTTAACTTATAACAGTGATACTGGAAAACTGGGCTCTAATAGGAAAATCAATTGATTTCACAGGAATGATTCTATGCTCTCTGACCTGAGCTAACTGATCCTTCCCCATCAAATGATGTTGTGAGTGGGCACGTAATATTGACAGCAGGTGTTCATGCCATCTTCCGGTAATTTGAGAACTGGAACACAGATGCCTCTACACTGATTGAAGCAAGCAGCACCACTCTCCACTTTGTCAACAAGTGCAAGGAAAATATCTGGAGCTCCCCTTCAAAAGTCAAGCTGACATGCAGGCCTACAGATTGATGCCACTCCCACCCCTTTGGAGACTGCTCTTTTTCAGTGCGATTTACAGAAAGTTACGCAAACTGCAGACTGGCAAAAGCCAAAAGCTCAGAGTTATTCGAGAAGCAGAGAGAGATAAAAACATGCCCATGGGCTCTATCATCCTTGTAGCTAATTCCCTTCAACAGTGCACTTAGTTCAAAATAGAAGAAACTACTAGGAAGATTCAAGTCTCATTACGACTTTGGATGCCAAAATTTAGGGTAACCACATTTTCTAAGCACTTACACCAAAAAGGACATATCCAAGAACATATTACATATAATAAGCAAAACATAAAAAGTAGCAGATATCCTTTCCCACAGCTCAGAAGAGTCAGTCCTGAAAGAAACAGTCTTTGCTTTGATTTCTTCATCCGTTCCTAAGCCAATTAAGCCTCTTGCAGTATTCAAAATGCAAAACTTTGAAACTTACCCACTGGGCTCGAACCAGCTCCATTTGGCACCGAGAGATCAGTTGTGGACAGCATACCACCTAATTGGGGGATACAGAGGAAGAATATTTATTTCACTCAGATAATGCAATGTGCAAAAGTAAAGAGTGAGAGCTTGTTGAAACTTGGGGTGAGGGAGGAATGCTTACTTGCACTGCCTGTACTTGGTGGTCTCTGAGGACCTCCTGGTGACACATTTCGATGCAATGAGGCTTGAGGAGGGGTCAGCATGGTAGAGTCTGTCAAGGTAGAACTTGCTGCCAGTGCTGAGGATACAAGGGAACTCCCAGGATTACTGTAGGTTAAAGTATTGGGGCTGGACACAGGAACAGTGACCGACATTGAGAAGTTCTGTGGAGGTAACCCAGGCTGAAAAGAGTGGGGGGAAATCATGTGAGATTTAAAGAGCTACACTTTCCTCAAGTTCTAATCAAAATGTTAGAAAACAGCTTCTTGGTTTCTAAAAGGAGTTTTGAAGCATACATACAGAACACACACATCTTAATTATGTAATGCAAACTATTCAAATTTGTTACATACAAACCACACTTAGCACTCTCAAAATTGGTTAGCGATACCGATAATTACCAAGAGCTACAGATAATCACTCCAAGTTGATCACATGGAGATATGTTTTACAAAATATCGTATGTAGAAAATGAAAGATGTTCTGGGCATCTGCCCATAACTTTCTAGCAAACTTTTAAGAAACATTTTGATTATTGCAGAAAATGAAAATTATCCCTTTGCAATCAGAAACAGTATTTGAGAGCACTTAAGCATGCAATGAAAGAGGGAGGAAAGGATGTTACTGGAAAATACAGCATACTATTTCGACTTTAAAAGTTCCAAGGCAAACCTGATTCTTCACATTATGTATTTCTATAGAACTATGCTGAAAGTTCCAAAAAAAGCTAGAGAGTTGTGCTATTATATTTGTATTCATTAGTAAAACTGTTTCAAGTAAAAAATGAATAAATTAATGCAAAATTCTTTACAATTTAGCTTAAGATTGGATTTGAAGGAATGCAATTTATGTGTGTTTTTTTAAAAAAAGTACTATGATAAAGTACATGCAAGCATTACATCTTATGTTAAATCCAGTTTCTTTGAAATCCTTCCTCAAAAACCCATCTGAGAATTGTTTGGTCTCTAGTCCCCAGAATCTATTCAACTATACCTAAAAACATGTAACAGAAATGACTGCATATTCTTCCACAATTCACTACCACCCCCACTACCTCTTGCTTATATCAATTTTTAGATTGTAAGGCCCTTATATCAATTTTTGGCCCTTATATCAATTTTTAGATTGTAAGGCTGTCATGACAGGGACCTCTCCTTTTCAAATGCCATATACTTGGATGATGCTATATAAAATAAGAAGCAACAAAAACAGCTTCCTTATAGTTTGACTGGTAATTTACCATAATATGGCTATGTTATTTTCGATTGTTATATGAGCAACACATCATCACTACAAGGTAGAATTTTGCCTTAAATAGCACACTGAAAAATTCCTTTAGCAATTCGTTTAAAAGAGTAATAAATCACAGGACTTTATTTTTAAAAAACCCTTCTTTTGGTGTGTACAGAAAGCTAGTCTTGGAATCAACAAAATGAAAGAATATTAGGACATATTTAGCAATAGAAACTAACAAGGTTTTGAAAAAAAATGTCATAGCTTCTGCCAACAAAATTGGGAAATTATAGTTGTGCAATCATGTTTATTTTCATTTATGTAGAATGCTTATATCCTGCTTTATGGTCTTAAACACTCTCAAAGTGGCTTACAAAGGTTTCTCAAAACAAAATCACACTCAAATATGGCTTCCCTTATAGACTAAGGACAATAATTATCTGACCAATTACTCAATGGAATATGCTGATAATCCTCTCTCTTTCAACGATTTTCTTAGTGAGGGACAAAAACAACTGATCACAATATACAGACTGCCTTAACTCTTTAAGAGTTACAGGTTTAGTGTACTTTTACTTCAAAGGCATCTGATTTCTATACCAAGGAATACCCAATTCTGAAAATATATTAATATAAAAATATCGCAGCATATTTTTCACAGATCTAGGGTGATACATGGCAAAATAACAGAAAACAACTACTGTGGTACCTTGGTTGTTGAATTTAATCCATTCCGGGAGCCCATTGGACTCCCAGAACCGTTCGAAAACCAAGGCACAGCATCCGATTGGCTGCAGGAACTTCCTGCACTCAATCGGAAGCCACGGAAGCTGCATCAGACATTCGGCTTCCGAAAAACATTCGCAAACTGGAACACTCACTTCCGGGTTTTTCAGGAGCCAAGCCATTGGAGAACCAAGGTCCCACTGTAGTTTATTGAGAAAAGACTGAAGAAAGAGAGGAGCCTGTACAGGAGCCTGTACAGAATGGATTTCTCTAGGCCTGAAAGGTTTGTACTAGGCCTTGTTTGATTTCAGCTAACAAAGTAGACACTGTAAGCATTTTTGTTTCTCTGTGACCAGAAATTTAATGAAAGCAGTGCTTCTTAGGAAGTGGACTGTGTAAGAGGCTTTTCCTGCTGCCTTCTAACTCACATACAGCATACAAAGTGCCTTTCTCAGAGTTCATACAAAAATCCCAAGATTTCTGTCTCAGATTCATGCATCTTGCATGAACATTTCTGCTTTATAAGCTCGTACCACAATGTCATCTTTAATGTAGCTTTCAAAGTTAAGGAGATGTTGCAAAATGTTCTCATGCATATAATAAAGTCACAAGCCATACCACAGTACTCACTGCGATTTTATGATTCCGCATCATATTATCAAACTCTTCATTAATTTTTTTATATTTTTCTTCTGTATGTGGCGTGAGCACATATGAAGTGTCAGGGTCCGGGCTGTCGCACCCTCTGTTTTCCTTCTTGTTCAGAGCCTAAATAATGAAGTTAATAAAAAGAATCAACAAATAAAAAGTAGGAGCTAAGAAAAGTACTTACAGGGCCTCGCTTGAAAATAAAATCACTATCTTCATTTAGTTTGCTGAATCTGTCCTCCGATAGTGGACTGTGCTCAAAGTAATCGTCAGCATCAGGGCTCTCACAACCATTAAGGCCTTTCTTTCTTAAAGTCTGAAATACAATTGGAAAATTCACACAGACAATACTAAACTTGCCATAATTTTTTAATCGCAAATTTGCATTAAGAAGGTACACACTGTTTTACAACCAGAGCCACTGAAATAAGTGTATCCATATACACTGATACTTTAGTATTGTTAAACACATGCAGTTCTATCCCAAAGTCAATGGGCCTACTCTATGAGGGCTAGCACTGGATACAATACCTACAATTCTCTCTTCCCCTCTTCCCCTGCCCTTTATAATTGCTACAGACTTTTCTAAGAGATGGGGGTTTCTGTCAGAAACTGTAATAGCTCATCGACCACTACCTATTTTCTCTGGCAATTAAAAATAGCCACAAAAGGATTTGTGAGGACAGTTTGTAGGCACCAGCCCTGTGTGAACTGAGAGCATATCCTACAACAAGGATGGACAGAAGATAGGGAATGATCTACCTTGCAAGGCACTCAAATGATCATTTAACAAGTAAAGTCATAACTAATCCAGGTTAAGAGCTCCTGTGGCTCACACTGCACATTAAACAGGGTTCAGCGTTATTTTTTCTCTTGGCTCTTTAGAAGCCAAAACTGCCCTGAGATCTGGAATGAAGGGAGCATAAGCAAGCAGAGGCAGCTTAATCCTTTCCCCCCTCTGGCACTGTTTGAGCTCAGAAATCACTCTCCACAAGCTGTTAAGAGTGTTCTCTTTGTGAATTTTTGAGCCAGCATAGAAAGGGTTGAGCAGCTTTTTTCTGTCTTCCATCTTCCACTCCAACATTCTATAATGTGCAACTTATTTTGTAAATTTAAACATGTTTTGTAAACCAGAGATTTTGTTGAAAATAAAAATTTCCTGCAAGGTGAAGGCATTCCTTGGAAGACAAACCAACATAAGTAAAGTTCCCTGGGCTTTGGAACTTTGAAAACTACTATTCTAAGCAGTGTTTAAAATCCAACTAACAGTAAAACTGTAGGTGTGTTTTTTTAATAAGAAACACTAATGGGAAAGTATGTTCTGAACCCAAGTCACCCTCTCATAATATGCTATGAATATGTCATGCTTAGTTTACAAACTAGAAATCCAATCGGTTGATAAATAATAAGCACCCATGGTATCCAGAAAGGAGGAGAATATATCCCATTTTATTACTTATAAGATTTTGCTGTGAGAAATACTGGGAGAGAAGCTTTAGTCAAAACTATTTGAACTTCATAAACACCACTGGAGAAGTTGAACTCTAATGGTCTTCAAGCAAACCTACACAGATCTCAAGCCGTTATTATCTTGTAATTTCTTAGCAACCACTGCTAGTAACAGCTTGTCTTAATGTAAGACAACGATAAGACCAAAGAAGGCCTATCTAGTCCAGCATATTCTATTGACAGCGGCCAACATGTTGTCAGACATAAGTGCAAAAGTACTCCTGACCACCCGAGACTCCAAGCAACTGTCATACAGAAGCATACTGCCTTCAACAGTGGATGTAGAACATAGCCATCATGGCTAGTGGTCATTAATAGCCTTATCCTCCATGAATACAGTATGTCTAATCACATTTTAAAACCATCCAAGTTAATACCATCACTGCATACTGTAGAAGCAAATACCATAAACCAGGCATGCCCAAAGTCCATTTCGGGGGCCTAATCCAGCCCCTGTGGCAGTTTATTTCCTGGGGTAAAAACCTAAACAACTCCAACCCTAAAAAAAAGTTCAACAACTTTGGGGTAAAATCCTAAAAAAGGTAAAAAGTATCAACCCTAAAAAAGGTCAGCAACTTTGGTTGGCCCTCTGGTTGGCCCTCACGGCCCTTCACTTCATCAAATCTGGCCCTCTTTGGAAAAAGTTTGGACACCACTGCCATAAACTATATGCTGTATGGTATGGCTTGGCTAGTAGCTAATGAGGCCTTTTGGCATTTAACCCTCACATTCCTCCTTTCTGCAAAGCCAGGGTGGGTTTTCCATCCTGCTTCTACAACCCTTTCTCATCCTTTCCCAACACCTCTTTTCTCCCTGTCCTCTCCTATTTCACCCCATCCTACCCCATTCTACCCTCTTGACTGATATCAGAAGAGAGGGAAAGGGCGGGGGAGCAACTTTGCCTTTCCCTCTTTCCTCCCCCCAGCTACTTTAGCAAGGCGACCAGAGAACTATATGGGTACAGGTTGCTTCGGTCAGGAACTTCCCTTCCCCAATTTTGGTAGATTGGTAGTTTTGGTAGTTTCCCCACATTACCTCCCGATTCCAGCACTGGAATGAATTATAGGGCACTCTGTGTGTGGCTGCCTCTACGGATGTGGGGGATGTCACTGCCCTCCTTTATGGATCTCTCCCAAGAGCCACCACCCAACATCTTGGTAAGAAGGTCTGCTGCAGGCAGACAGGCTCCTCTCAGGCTGTCTTGGCTCCTTCATTCTCCTCTCACTGACTTGTACACATGCTGTTTGCTCATGCAGTAAAAGAGGGGTAAGAGCTGGCTGCAAATGTGTACAAGAGTGCTGCTGTGACAAGGGCCTTAAGCAAATACAGATATAGGAAGTTTTGGCTAAATTTCTTTCCTAGCAGCTCCAAAGTACACTTAGCATTTCACATAACACAATCAAATTATGTAAAGCTCTCAAGCCATCAGTTAGATATCATTCCTTCTCAGGTTACTTGGCATGGTGTTGCAAGTCCCACAGACAGTGCCTGGAACTCCCACTAAATCAGCATTCTCAGGAAAACAGGTGTAGCTTTCGGCAACACCTGTCACAACACTTAGCAGCACAGTCTAACCAATCAGGTGGATATGAATATGGACTTAACCATACATGGCCCTGCTGTCCAGCACTTTGAAAGCTGCTAACCCTCCCAAACCTTCAACAAGGCTAAGCCTGCCAGTCTTCTACACTGATATCAGCAGGGAAAATGCTAACACTACAGTCTGGATTACAGTTAACCTTTACAAATTATTGAATACTATAAATAGATTTAGAAAGTTTGTGGCATTCATACCAGAATACACACATTTTGCCCAACATGTCTCAACACTTTATACTTGAATAGCCAGAAAAAAGAAATGTAGATTAAAAAACACTATCTTAAATTAGAAAAAAAAGTACAAGCCAGAGGCTGCTGACCATTTCCAAGAAACACAGCAATCTTATTTTGTGTGTGATGTATGTATTATATTTTAATCTAGAAGCATTGTGGAGTGTTCAGTCTGTGTATTAAAGGAAAAATCTAGAATCAATTCATCCCACACTCTGAAGCATATCCTTTTAAACTCAGAACAAAAGAACATATGCACTCTTCGTAATTGTTATTTTTATCGTGTTAAGAATGGATTTAACCCTGCTTTAACTCAGGAGGAAGGAAAAGGTTTCACAATCTCCCACTTCAGATTCTGGAAACCCTCACTCTAAACCAAGTTCTTGTCACTCTTGGGCCACTTAAAGTTACAGTCTCCCATTTCTGATGAAACAAGTCAAAGCCAAGGCATTTGGTCTCCTAATTGCATACACAGAAACATCCCTTTGCGGGCCCAACTCTGATAAGAGTACCACTTACTTTATCGTTATCAAGTACCATAAGAGTAAACTGTTACTCTTTGTGTCAAGGGAGGCACAAGTGGAATGTTCTAATCTAACTGGGCAGAATCAGTGGGCTGTTTTCTAACAGGCAACTATGTCAGGGATAACCCACCATGGCTCAAAAAGTGAGAAAGACCCAAATGTTAGGAATGCACTTATGTGCGGTGCAAAATAAAAGATTCCAAAATCTTTTGCATCACTTTGCATCATTTGGTACTTCATATATTTTGAGTTTTGTACTGTTTAAAAAAGCTTTTCTAAACAAAATGCAAGGTCAGCTGCTGTGTCAGAGAGTCTTCTTTGTGGAGACTCTTCTTTCATCACAATGAGGGACCAACAGATTTTGTCAGCCAGTAACATCTGTGGTTTTCAGAACTCAGCCTCTCTCACAATTCAGGGGCAGGGAAGAGATCTCATGGCTGATACAATACTGTGTTCAGAAGCACTTGGAAGCAGAAGCAAGATCCTGTAGGTGTCAAGGTGCTTCTGAAGCTCAGTATGATATTGGCAAGAACTCATGCACTCACATTGTGAAAGCAGTGAGAAATCTTGTTTCCAAGTGTCCCCCAAAGACCAGTTCAAGGTCAGGTATGCACCATTCTCTTGAAAACAACATTTACAGGGTGGTAGCAGGATGGCACTGTCAAGAAGCAGGTTACTATTATGATATTCATAGAAGCACTAGATTGAAACAGTACAGACACTGATTTTGGGGCTGCTAGGAACTGGAATCCAGTAACATCTGTGAGGGCCACAGGTTCCCCATCCCTGGTGTAAATCCTGTTTGTACAAAAAGCTGCACCTGAGCACAGTCAAGGGGTTACAGGTAAACATTATTCTTCAAGTTGCTCTCACTGTGGCCATACTAGTGAGGTCTCAACCATGGCAGCCGAAACGCAGCTCCTTTCCTACACTGCATCAAGTAAATAAATCAAGGAGCCTCACCTGCTTAGTTCTTTCAAAATGGATGTTCATGCTCTCTGTGAAAGCCTTTATAGTAGAGAAGGGAGGTGGGTTCTTTGAATATTCATAACAAAGAATATTCACAACAACTAATAGCAACTCTTGCTGTCTCCTTTATTGCCTCTGTGCAATCCGACAAATGTGACAAATGTGACTTTTCCAAATATTGATAAAGTGAAGAAACTCTGCTATACCACACTTTCCATTCCTGCTTCTTTCAAAAGCCTGCTGCTACTTATAATTCCCCACCAACAACATGGCCACTTGCAGTTTTTG